GGGCCTGGCCCCTCAGCAGGCAGCGGTGGTTCCTAGGTTATGCTAAGGAGCTACGTTTGGGTTAATGGAGCCTGGGCCCAGGACCGCTGTGTGGGGCCCTCAGTGACATTGGCAGTTGTCTGGGACAGCCCCTGGGACCCATTTCTGCAGAGCAGGGCAGGGCAGGGGCACCACCCACCCAGGGGGCAGCCAGCAGGGGGACAGGTGTAAACACACGGACTCACTCAAGGCCCAGGATCACTGGAATGGGAGTTGGGTGGGTGCTGCTCAGGATCTGACAGTTTTAAATATTTCTCTAAAAAGTTTTCTAAGTTTGCGGGATTTTTTTTTTCCTTTCTTTCATTTTTTTTAAAGCTATGCGAATGAGTAGGTGGTCTCCAGGAATGTTGGTGTTGCACGCTTCTTGTGCTTTTTCCTTTTGGGGCCTCTGAGCGGTGTGAGGGGGAGAAAGGGCAGGAAGCTCCTGTAAACATTTGGACTTAGGCTGGGTCAGGGCTGGTGTTGGGAAAAGCCAGGGGTCCAGGCTGGGGAAGTGGGTGGCCCCCCAGACACAGGCCTGGGGAGACTCGGCATGTGCTCCCCTCCCCCCACAGAACAAGACAACAGCCAAAAAACTAGAACATGCCCAGGAAGAGGCACCACGACCACTCCCAGCACCTCTGACAGAGGAGGGCTTCAAACAGGCCTGTGGCTGCCCAGGAGAGCTGAGAACAAAGAGGACGGAGGTGAGAAGCAGCCAGGCAGACAGGCAGGGAGCGTGGTCTTCTTGGCCCCACCTTCCTCAGGGGTTTGGGGAGTACAGTCAGCATGGCCCATCCTGCCTGGCCCACTGCCTCTTGAAGAGAACGCAGTCCTTTAGGTTGCACTTGCTGACATCAGTGACAGTGTCAAACACAAAGTGCACGATCTTGGTGTCAGTAGCACATGTAAAGTGTGCATAGACCTCCTTGGTGTCTTTGCCTTTATTCCGGTCCTCAGACTCACTCTGGATGTAGCTGGCTGCCTCATCATGCTTGCTGGTTCCTGTGTATTCTGGGAAGCAGATGGTCAGCGGGCTGTGTGTGATCTTCTCCTCAAACAGGTCCTTCTTGTTGAGGAAGAGGATGATGGATGTGTCCGTGAACCATTTGTTGTTACAGGTGCCGTCAAACAGCTTCATGCTCTCTCTCATGCATGTGGTTCATCTCTTCATCCTCAGCTGGCACCGAGTCACAGGCGCTCCAGGCTACACAGAAGATGATGGCTGTGACCCCCTCAAAGCTGTGGATCCATTTCTTCAGTTCGGACCACCGACCACCCACATCAAACATCTCAAAGTGTAGGTCCTTCAAGGTCAAGTGTTTCCGCAATACCCATGGTCTTCACGCAGTCCAAAGCACCTCCTGCCGTGTGGGGATGTAGTCGCTCTGAGCAACCCGCTCAGCGTCATTCAGGTAGTAGGCAGCTGAGTTGGTATTCTCTTGAGCGGCTGAAGCAGGCCTGCACGCCATGGTCAGCCTAGAGCCTCCGGAAAACGCTGGACAGATCCTCAGGGAGCATGCCTTGCTCCTCAGCAGTGCGGGATGGTGAGGACAGCTGCCTGGCATCCGCGACACGGTGGGGGTCAGTAAAGTCAATCTGCAGGTTGCCCATGGCCTTGACGATGGCCATGATAGACTGCACGGTATTACTGCAGACGACTGTTCGGTACTGCGAGCACTCCCCTGAATAGCCACCTTCATGGATGATCTTCATTTGTTTATCGATGGTTCTCTTCCCTGACTCCCCAGCACCTAACAGAAGCAACTTCACCTCCCACACCGCCTTCTCCCAGGTTCTCTGCAGGTTCTTGTAGATCATCTTGGCGGTGCACCCCATCCCGCCCCACGCACCGCCCCCTCGGCTCCCGCTACAGGCCCTGTGCGGACAGCTCTCTGGTCGGCAGTTCCAAGCCTGTATTGAGCTTTCTTTCCCCTCTGCATCTCGGGCAGTTTCATTTGTGGTCAAAACTTTTACTTTCCACCCGTGGTTCTCACATTTAGACCTCATAATTTTCTTCTACATTTCAAATTTCTAGCTATTTCAAAGTTCTAGTTACTGCGTTTCTAATTCAACAGATCCCCAAGGGAGCTCACTCCCTCCTCTCCACTCACTATCTGACCTTGTTTTCAAATCTGACCCTTCTTTTATAGTCCTTGCTGCCTTCAATGGTTTCGCTATCTCACATGAAGCCTTGGCTCCATATTGGACCATTTCTTATTTCAGACCATTTCTCCTTTCTCACATCCCTAACACACACTCATTGGATCCCCAAGTTCTTTAGATTTTACCTCAGAAGTGTTTAGTGATTGTATAATCAGTTCCTGTTTTGTTTTGTTTTTCTAGTGATAAAGATCCAACCCAGGGCCTCATGTATGCTAGGCAAACACTCTGCCACTAAAAGCTACCTCCCAGCCTGTAATCTGTTTCTTCTATGCTGGTCCACCATAGTGATGAAAGCTTTCATTATTTCTCACTTGGATCACTGCAGTGGACATTCATCTGGTTCTCTCAGCTCCCTCAGGCCTGGGAGTGAACTTCCTAAAACCTAAACCCAATCGTGTCTGTCCCTGCTTACAAAACCTCCAGAGCTCTTCTCTGCCTACAGGGCACATCCTAATTGTACAGCCTGGCATGTAGCCCAGCCCTTCACAACCAAATTTACAGATATATTTGTAGTTGCATTTTTTATCTGCTTCTCACTCCACCTCCCCTTGGAACTATGATCCAGACCACTGGAGCTACTTGCTGCATCCTTTCATACCAAGCTCTAAGTTCCTGAAGAGAAACCTCTTGTCTTATTGATTCTGGGCATCTGCATTCACTATACCTGTGCTGCTGGCTCCAGACTTCTTAAAGAAATGTGGTTGCAGATGATATAAGGTAATTTATGATAATTCTTCATCTTTTCAACAACTTTACATGGTTACACAGTGCTGTTGCTACAGTTTAACAGGTGAAGAAGCAGACACCAAGCAGTTGAGGAGCCCAAGATTCCTAAAAAAAGAACTAATAAGTGAATTAACCAAAAATTTTAGCAAGGTCAGGCTGACTGTAAAACCTACGCCTCAGCTGAGGCCAACCCTTGCTAATACTTCTCTTACTATAATTCTACTCGCAGGGGAACAACCAGGAAGCAACCCCACTGCTTCAGGCTCTTGTGTGTGCAGCCATAGCATCCCCAGATGCAGGTCACGTGGGGACAGGGCAGGTACCACAACTTCAGTCCAAATGTCAGCACATTCCAGCATCCCGTGAGTGGAAAAGTACTGTCTGTGTGCTCTACCTAACACGGACCTGTTCATATTCTCAATAAGTATCGGAATTGATCTTTTCAAGGAGGAAGTATAATATCTTAAGCAGTCTATCTCCAAGGAAAGGGAAAGTCTGAAAATGATCCTGCTTCAGACAGTATAACCAGATGCACATCCTTGAGAAGGGCGAGTCCTCTCTCTGTGCTTGAGTCTGATTTTATTAAGTAATTGATAGCATTACACATTTTTTAAAATTTTAAATTATTTATTTTTTTGTTTTTATTTTTTACTTTTTGGTTTTTTTTTGAGACAGGGTCTCACTATGTAGTTAAGGCTGATCTGGAACTCACTATGTAGCCCAACACATTTATTTTTGTTACCTAAAGCTAATACACATAGGTATTCTCAAGGGTGGCCAAAGGGAAAATTGCTTCAATAATTACCTATCATTTTAAAAATATGTACCTTGTTCCCTTATTACTTTTATAATCTGATCTAAAAACTCCAGCCTAGGAGCCCCTGGATCAAAGGCCAGCTTAATCTCTGCCAATAGCTGCCTGTGTGACCCTGAACAAATCTGCTGCCAAATTCTTACTTTTTACACCTAGAGATTCCGATTAGCTGATTGACAAGCAGTCTCTCTTAATTCTAATATTCACAGACTAGTTTTAGTTGTAGGATGTTTTCCCTAAGGTCACTTTTATTCTAACCCTAAGGAAAACTACCCTATTACATATATTTAAACTATACAATATGTTTTCATATACCTAGTGACACAGTTATTATAGTCAAGAAGATCAACCCACCCGTCATTTCACATAGTTACCCCTTTTTGTGACAATCGTACATGGTTTTTGAAATGTTGTCAGGGATGATGGGGTGGAAGTCAATTCCAAGACTATTTTACAATAAAATAACTGTAATCAATACAATGTGAAAATTGTTTGTGGCCTTCAATCTGTTGAAATACCTCAAACGCAGGAAGCAATGTAAACATAATTATAGAGGAAAACATGGTAGATAGAAGTTAGAGACATGGAAAACCCTATTATGAGTTGTCTTAGCTGACACAGGCATACAGCAAACAGTTGCTAGGTTCTCAGTTTTGTTTACACAAAAGTAATTTCTCACTACATGACAGCCACTGGGTGTCCTAGGTAAGATCAAAAGGTATATGACATAGGTGCCCTGTAAAAGCCTCTTGAGTGACTACTACATGAAAATACTATGAAAAGTACATTATGCAAAAGTTAAAGGCTATTGCTAATAACTCCTAAGGCTCATTTTCATCATAAAAATGAACCATGAGTTACAAAAGAACCATTAAAGAAGTTCCTTTTCAATCTTTGTGGTGTTTCCGTCATGAAAAAAAAAAAAATCTCATCAAAATCCCATAATAAAAACACATACTTTCTTATATACCAGCATATTACTGCTTAAACTGGTGCTCCTTGAGCGGGTGGGGGGAGAACCGAAAAGGAACACTTAAAAAAAAAAAGAAACGAAAACTTCATTTGACTCAGCCTGTGGGCTTCACAGTTTTTTAATGGGGCAGCTTAACACAATGTTAGCGTCGTTTAAAACCATCTGAGACAGCCCCAGATGGGAAGGAGAAGGGCGCCCTAAAGAAGTTCTTGGCAAAGTGAGAATCCTGGGAGGTGCATTCAGCGCTTGCGGTCCGCAAAGAAAGGCAAACTCACAGCCCAAGGCTGCGAGAGGCCGACTCACCTTCCCTGGAGGTGGCCCCGGCTGCAGGCAGGAGGAGCGAGACGCAGAGGAAGCTGAGCCAGAGCGCAGGCATGGCCGGCCGCCTGTGCAGGGTCCTGCCGGCGCTCTGGGGGCGGCGGGGAGTTCTCCTCTGAACCCTGTTGTGCCGTCCTTTTCCGTAATCAGGTGGTTTTATCGACTCTTCTACCTGACTCAGTCCTGACAGGAAGAGAGCCTGTGTTTCAGGGCGTGACTCACCTGTGAACAAGAAGGGCCCGGCCCTCCGAGGCAGACAAACACAGAGCACACACAGAGCTGCAAACGCGCTCACCCCAGCCCGCTGCGCCGCCTCACAGAGGGCGCACACCTGGCCGGGCCAAGGGTGTGGCTCAGGGATCCCTCTTCTGGAATGTGCCAGAGCCCTCCTTCTCTCCTGGGCTAGTCTAGGGCAGAAATCATGAAGTAGAGAGCAGCCTGCCCCTTCCTCAAACTGGGAGGCCCAGTCTCCGGGAGCAGGTGAAGAATTTAGCAGCCCTCCTGGGCTCTGCTCTAAAAGACATCGGGGAAGACCGGTCAATCCTGGAGTCCCAACAGCATCCTCTGCACCTTCCCACCTGGACACCCAACCTCTGAAACAAAGGAGCCCTGCTCCAGCCCACCTCTGCCAGGTTGGACTGACGCTTCCCCTCCTGGATCTCCCTCAATGTGTATCACCTGGCTAGTGGCCCCTTCAGTCACTGGTCAGACCAGCCTCCCTATGAAGACTAGATAGCACTCTGCATTCCTAACAGTGAGTACAGCATCTAGCACTTTCAATGCTCAGTAAATATTTTGTTCAATCGAATAAAAAAGAAGATCCATATTCTGTATTCCTTTAGCATCTTAGAGCGTTATTTCTCATATCATTTGCTATGGTCCCACTGAAAAGTGTTTCTTGAGTCTGGCGATGTCACCCAAGTCCCCTGTGCCAGGTAAAGCGAGTAATAGCTAGAAAACTGCAAGTCTTGGTGGTTTCTATCCTGTCTCTTCCCCACAGAAGATGGTGGCAATGATTCAGAGAGGTAGCTATCAAAGATAGTACTTTGGAACCCTACTATGGCAGCCCATGCCTGTAATTCAACATTCTGTGAGGCTGAGGAGAAGGATCACAAATTCAAGTACCACTTGGCAACTCAGTGAGTTAGAGGAAGACCCTCCCTCAAAATAAAGGCCTGGGGATATAACTCAGTGTGAAAGCCCTGGATTTAATCTCCAGTATTGCGAGAAAAAAGAGAAAAAAAGGAGAGGTTGGTTCCTGCTAGAGATATAAATATTACCAGAATGTATATGTACCCAATCCAACCAAAGTAACTATTCATCTTTCCCATCAAGAAGGACTATAAATCTTCTAGTAAGTACCTATTCACAGACTAAATGAGAATTATTTTATGGATAACAACTAACAGACAGCATGCTACATACATTATTGTCAAAGGGTGTAAAAAATTCAATTTATGCATGTGATCAAGGCTAACATGGGCTGAGTGGATGGCTTTGTACAGAACATGGGGCATGAACTAGATGTTTAAGCATAACCAGAGTCTGAATACAGCACCGAAGAACAGCAGGGTGGGCAGGAAACTGCAAACTGGCCATACCTGCTCTCAAATCTGCAGCACAAAAAATGAGTAGAAGAGAAATTCCAATTTTCTCATTCCAGGCCTGATTATCTTCTATTCAGTCCAGTATTCAAGCAAATAAAATAATGATTCTTCTCTCTCAAAACTCAGTGTCCCGTTATTGCTAATATTCTACTTCCTAGAGATGAGGTATACCTAGAGTTTTCCTTCCCAGTAGCTGGTGCATGTTGGAGACAGACAGTACTACACTCCATGGATGCCTACTCATTCTGTGTGTGCAATGCCAGACAGTCCTGCAGATGCAAGGAACATGACCCTGCAAAACAAAGTCTGGAGGGTCCAGGGATTAGATGCACAGATTGCTATAGTTCATCCTATCTTAAAACTTGGTGGGCCGGGTATTTAGCTCAGTGGTTTGGTGGCCTGCCTTGCAAGTGCAAGGACCCAAGTTCAATCCCCGGTACCAAAAAAAAAAAAAAAAAAAAAAAAATTAAAACTTGGAACAGAATTTTTCATCTACATCATTTTAGGGCAGTAATAATAATAATATTATACTTGGGTACTGCCGATTGATTGTCAGTCACTGTTGCAAATCCCTTCTGATATCAAAAGATACCTTTAATCTTCAAAAGAACTCTACAAATCAGGTTACTGTTAGTTTTCGTACCGTACAGATGAGAAAACAGACAGTGAAAGGTCAAGCAACAAGCTGAAAGTGGCAAAGCCAAGACTCAAAACCAGGCACTCTGGCTCCACAGTACTCAAATTCTTTGTTAGTGACATTAAAAAACATCATAAAGACAATTCATGATAGGGAATAATAAATTGAGCATACAATCAAAGGTTAGTTATCAACCGCCATTACAACCTGGCCGGACTGTAGACTACTGGCACACAACCACAAAGCCAAGTCACAAAGAGCTCCAACAAATGCTACTGATTCTCCCAAGCTCTTAGCTCCGAAGAACCCCTCAGGGTCACCTGGACCAGGAGCGGAAACGGGAAGCTGGCCTCTGGGATCTGTGCCAGCCATCAGCCTCTTGTATGTGTATGGCATAGAATTTAAAACCTTTCTATAAAGTGTAAATGTCTTTGGGCCTTTAGATCGGCACTGTCCAATTTTTCTCATTTCCTACCTCTATGCCTTCTTCTGAGCTTCTTCACACATCTAAACAACCTGCCTGCTCTGGATTCATCCCCTACTTTGTTCAGGGACAAAAGAGTGATCTCGTGGTCAAAAGTCAAGGTTCTCCAGGAGATTCCTAGGGTCAAATTCTGGCTTCCCTGTTATGAAGATTTAGTTTCCTCTGAGCCTCAGTTACTTAATCTATAAAACGGAGATAATAATAAAATACTGACCTACCAGTGGTAGGGTTTTTGAGGAAAATTAAATAAATTAATGATTTATCTAGGACTCATGCATATCCATGTACTATGTAAGTGTAGATATAATAGTAATTTCTACTATTGTTAAGTATTAATGGTATTGTTGTTACTGTTATATTTATTGTCACTGGCCAAGTACCAGTTTATCCTTGCAGTAATATCTAGCATATGAGAGAGATGAAAATTTTACTTCAATTCTTCTACTGATTAATTATAACTTTAGAATTCTTGGCCTAATCCAGGTTTATGCTAGATTACCAACATTTACTTGGAAATTGTTAATTAAATTATGATTTTGCTATAAAACTGGAAATGTCTTTCACACAGATTTTATTGCCAAAATTTTTTTTTTGCATTATTTAATGAGGCAGGTTGAGATCTTATTTTTCAGGTAAAATGAAAAGGTAAGATGTCTTTAAAATAATTCCTATGATTTTTTAAAAGCCACAAAAATTTGCTTGCTTTTCTATATGACACAAATACATCTTTTTTCAAATCTAGATAAAAGTAAACTTGATAGCACTAAACAATAAAAAGGGCCAAAGTATTGATAATACTAAATAAATCTCAAAGCATTGTGCTAAGTGAAAGAAGCCAAACACAAAAGACCGGAATTTTATTTGATCTCATCTATATGAAATTCTAGAAAAGGTAAAACTACAATGCCAAAAAGCATATCAGTGGTTATCGAGGGTGGGAACTTACTGTAATGGGGCACAGAATACTCTTTGGATTGAAAGAAATATTCTGAAATATGATTATGGTAAAAAAAAATCCAATTGTATACTTAAGATGTTTTAATTTAATTGTGCATAAATTGCACCATGGTAAGTTGGTTTTAAAAAAGAGAAACGCTCAAAAAAATCTATTTGATAATTAAAATGAGACTTCAAATGTGTAAAGGCAAAGCCACTGTGTGAAACACATCAGCGTTTGCATAAGTTGTGCCAAAGCCGCAGCGTGGAGTCCAGTCCTGACAGCTATGCTTCTTCTGATTATCTCTAAGCTGCCATTTAAGGCCTTTAGGCAGAAATATACTTCCCCGCCCCAGTCCTACAGGAGGACCCTTTTCTAGAAACTTGTCTGTGTTGTCTATTTACAAAAGGTGAAAGAGGCCTTTCAGAAATGGTTGCTTAGAAGCATAATTTCAAACTTATCTTAAATTTTGTTTCTAGGAAGTCAGCTTTGGATTTTTGTCTCCTCTTCCTCCGAAGTGCCACGTTCTTTCAGAGTGTGACGCCTGGTGTCGGTGGGGTTAATGCCCTACAGAGGCGCTCCAGCCACAGCATTAGGAAGCTACCAGGACACAGGGTGAGGCTGGCAAGGCGGAAGCCCTGGAAGTCCCCTTTGTCCATTGTATTTACAGTTCAGTCATTACCCTGGGGACTTTTTACAATGCTGTATAAATCAGTTCACAGAACTGTCATCTCTCCAGTACAAAGCTCCAAATAGAATTACAAGTGACATGTTGATTTTTGCCTTGAGTTCCATCATTGCCTTAGTCAACTTTCAGAAGGAATGTCTGGCATGTCGCCGGCTTTCAAACTCACTTATGATAAAAAGTGAAGCGCCGGTTGTTAATGTGCCAGCAAGAGACATAGCTGTCTCTGCCCTTGAAAACATCTTTCCCAGAGAGTTCTCTTTCCGTTTGCATTTGCATTGAAATTTTAAATATAAAGTACAGCAATGGGGGGTGGGGATTTTTTAAACTTCCCTTTGTTCTTAATGGGCAAAGGAAAATGTCCATAAATGGAAATGGTTCAGTGTTTCCTGGATCCGCTGCATAAATTCTCCAAGCCTGGCCAGGCTCCAGAAAACCATGCTCTCTGAAGCAAAGCACTGGCTGGAGTGGCAAGCTTTCATTTCACGCAGAAACATAGCGTGTGCCCACCGCAAGTTTTCAGAGAGCTGTAGCAGCCTGGCTAGAACTGAAGTAATTAATGCCCTTCATTCATTAAGAGAACCTGACCCTTTTCCTGTGGCTGGCTAGAGATACATCCGGCCAGGGATGTGGCGGGGAATCAGTGCACAAAGAACAATCTCATTCACCTCTTTTCTGAGGTAGCTGTTACAGAAATGTTCAAATCCATTGTTTGTTTTACAATATAACAAAATAAGGAGGAACAGGAAGAGAGACATCTGTTTAGAAAAAAGCAAAACAGGCAAAGAAAACACAACAAAACAGAGGGTGGAAATATTCTTAGATGAGTTTAACAGATTTCTGGGTGTTTCGATTGTTGTGTCCCCTTTAAATAAACTGTGGTCATCAGCTCATCTGTGAAACACTAGTTAGTAGGTAAAGTACTGCCATGGTTCCTAACTACCCTTACATGTGGACCTCAGCTCTTCAGGTTGAATGAGAGGGAG